GTTAGGAACAAAGTTTGAGGAACTTGTTCCCAGGGGAAGCTCGAGAATGAGAGGATAAAAAAATCCCCGATTCGGATGAATAGGTTAAAGAACCCAGAAGCCATATAGTGTGTGAAAACAGAAAAACAAAAGAGAAACGAGCCAAACAAGAACGATCAGACGAAGCGGTAGTAAGTCCCCGGTGGAGTCGTCAAGTTGGTTAGGTGCCTCGATCTCGTCCTCTGAATCTGGATGATCTGGCGACACACGTCTCAGATTTTGGGGGAACCCGAGACTTTGAGATCGCTCTCTCGGAACCTTGGTCAGGAGCAAGGGCAGGTATATCAACCGTTGAGAGAGGAATTTAAGGTGGGTTCGGGACTTACTCAGGCTGGCTCGCATGAGCACCCTCTTAGATCATTAAGAAAGTCCCCCCCGTCATAGAATTGGTTTGGAATCGCCTCCCATGGCCCGTACTCATGTTTCTGCAATCACATACACATGGTTAATTTACAAGACACGTGGGTCAAGTGACCCCTCCTTGTCTTTGGGCGAATGCACATAGGTTTGCACATTCAAAAGAAGGAAAAAAAAGGGAAGAGTATAGCTGGAAGAAGAAGAAAGATATATAATAGAGGAATGGGGGAGATAAGAATTTGACTAGGTGGCTAGACTGGCATACTAGCTAAAGCAACAAGTGATTGACTTGACGTAGATGGGCACGGTAACTAAATCAGCACAATGACAATTCTACTAAATGACAGAACGATCATCGACCAATCTGGCGCAATGGCTAACCTATTGTGGCAGTAAGGCAGGCATGGTAAATAAACCCGGCACAGCGATGTTACTATTAGACGATGAGATTACCATAACAGTGCTTGACTTAGCCTCCCTTGATCAAATGAGAGGGAAAGAAGAAGAAGAGAGAAAAGAAAGAGAGGGGGAAAGGGCATGCACAGTACTATCAATGTCGTGCATGTCAGAAAAAGAAAGGAAAAAGATAGAGGAAAAGAAGAAGAAAGGAGCAGTAAGAATGAAGAGAAAGGGGGAAGAAGAAAGAAAGCAGGGAGATAAGGAAGAGGGAAGAAGAGAGAGAAAGCCTGGATGGCGATGAGCATCCACCATCCATGACAAGGGAATTTACAAGAGAGAAAACATATAGATGGCGATGAGCATCTGCCATCCATTACAGAGAATTAGAAGAGAGAGAAGACATGGATGACGATGTATAAGGACCATAATTTTATCCCAGTCCAGTGACGCACCTAGAGAGGGAGAGTGAGATATAGGCTTAGCCCCGTTAGAAGCAGTGCCGGCTGTGTAAGAGAAGAGGTGGCACCGACTATGTAAGAGAAGAGGTGGCGCCGGCTGTGTAAAGGAAACCCAGCGCCGGTTGTGTAAGAGAAGAGGTGGCGGCAACATGGTAAAGTAAACCCAGTGCCAGATGTGTAAAGAGACTCATCGCCATCTGTGAATTTAAGACCTAGCGCCGCCTAAGTAGAAGGAAGAGAGAAGAGCATTACCATATGTCCGAGAGACAGTGCCACGTCTGGAGGGCCAACGCTGGCTGTGTAAGAGAACATCGCCGATTGTGTATTGGAGCATCGTCGTGTGTGTTTGGTCAAATTGTATAGCTGTCACCTGTCAGCGCCGCTCTGTACACGTCTGAGTCACGTGTGATTGCTTCAGCCAAAGTGTTTTCCAACTACCCTCTCCTTTTTAAGCCTTTTCCTGCCTTGGGCACCACTGTCTCTCCCATTTTCTCAACTTTTTCTCTCTCTCTCTCTCTCTCTCTTGAAGTTCATTGCTGCCCCTTGAAGACAACCTACTCGTGGAGCTAGGAGAAAGCCAATGAAGGCAGGGAATGTGGATTTGAGATGCGGTGGGAGTTTAAGGTAAGTGGGTTTAGCTTTATGTATCCATGGTTTATGTAAAGAACAAATATTTAGAATGGGTAAGATGATAGAATGAAAAAAATGTGAAGCATGAATGGGTTAACATGAGGTTGCAATTTCAGATTTATGCTTCTAAATGCCATGACTATTTTTACCACATATATGATCTTTTTATTTATGGAAACTCATGAAATTTCTCAATGTGAGACTCCTTATCATGAATAAGGTTCCAAACGCAAAGTTTAGCTTGGCCAGGAAATATTAAGTGTTCTTTAAAAGCATGTTAATTTGAGAATAAGAATTTCCAGAACTGTGATTGTTTTTGTATCAAAATTTTCAATGGCCAAATAGTGTCCAAATGGGACCAAATTGATTCCAATTGAAAGACATATATGTCTACTCCAAGTTTATTTTTTATGTCATGATTATTGTGCATGGATTAAAAGATATGACCTAAGACGTTGATACACAACACCACTCACAGTCGCTGCTAATTTCAGCAACTGTGGTGCTCTTTGGGCCGTGCTTTGGACCTAGCAAATGGCGCCAAAAAAACCTTAAAATTGCCACCATTGGAAAGGTTTGTGAATGTAATCAAAGTTGCATGTTTTGAGGTTTTTGAAATTCCCCAAGGATTTTGAATTATGCCCCAAAATGTGCGAACATGTCATTGTGATTTCCAACAACTAATGCTCACCTTGCACTGAGCTATAAACCCATCAAATGAAACCCAAATGCTTTCAAACTATTATCCTTGTAATGATCTGCAGGTAATCTTAAATTTTCATGTTTGAGGAATTTTGAACTCCCCCTAGATTGGGAGCTACACCCTCGTAAGAGAGGCATGTCACCAGTTTTTTGTTCATGCGACACTAAGCTTTCTTGATATGTGATAAATGTGAATACCATATGATGAATTTCATGTGAATGCCATAAATATATGTGAATGATGTCTTACGATTGTGCTATGTCAGATAATCGGGGCCACGAGTACAATAGTGATGAAGTGAATTCATAATGAATGCCAATTGCAATTGAGAAGACTTATGTTTAAATGCCATGTGAAAGCTTATGAAGTAAATGACTTTTGCTAAATGATATGATGATATGATGAAATCTGATTCATTTGTATGAGACATTGACTGATGTGAATGAATTGAATGCTTGAACATGATGAATGGCCACTGCTTATGTTGATATTGACCGTTACGTGATGGGACACTCATTGGTAGTGGATATTGTTATAATATTGTGAAGGATGGCCACTGCTTATATTGATATTGACCATTACACGGTGGGACACTCACCAATAGTGGATACTGTTATGATATCGCCTGCTATGCGATGGGACACTCATCGGTAGTAAGGAAAGTGATGCCGGCATATCCCTTAACCTGCATAATGATAGGAACGGATTAAGGGAAAACCCTAGATTGATAAAATGATTGATGCGCTGCAAGGTAATGGCCTATCGAACCCTCAACGCGCGCTGGGGACTGTATGAGTGTGTTGAGGGTATTATGAAGTGGATTACCCCACTTGTCATTACCCTCCCTCCTATATGATGGTAGAGGTCTTAAGCAATGGGATTAGCTTAGCCTGATGGGTAAGGCCTCTACTACGAAAGTAGGTGATTTAAGAAGTGAGTGGGTAATGATCAAATTTCTGAATGAGAAATGCAATCCTCTACTACGAGAGTAGGTGATTTAAGGAGTGAGTGGGTAATGATCGAATTTCTGAATAAGAAATGTTTAGGATTGCACTGATTGAATGTTAATGACTTCGCTAATTGAATGCTCATGATCACAAAAATTTAGTAATAACTGTCATGTAAATGAAATGTTCATACTCGCTATCTTGATCTAATATTTATATGTGCTAAACTATGATTTTATATTGATGGATTGAACTGTTATCACATACGGATAGAATCACTATAAATGCATAACATTAGATTTACTTACTGAGCTCTATAGCTCATTCCATTATTTCTCCTTTCCTTGTAGATTGATAGCGACAGGCTCAGGGCTTGGAGCTCGTGTTTTGTGGCAAGAGGATGAAGTTAGATTTTGTGAAGAAGGCGCTTAGATCTTGTTTATGTCTGGGCTGTTTGACTCTGGGTTTTTGGTCTTTGTTGATATATGTAATATTGGGCCTAGATGCCCTTAACTGAATGTAATATTTCAGAAGAAATTTATATATAATGGATTTTTGGTGTTTGGGATTTTCGATGTTCACCTACTAGTTGAGTTATTATTTTAATTCTTTTTGCATGGTTTGCTCGATTACCAAAAATAAAAGCATTGAGACCACTCCTTCTTGAGTGAAAAACGTTACATTGGATCACGAACCTGCACTCGGTCACTCGTCATTGCATGAGGTACGGTGGTCGGGGGCTGGGTCGTGACGGATATGGTATCAGAGCAGCCAGGATAGGATTCTTGGACTAGGGAGTTTAGTAGAGTCCTTAGATTAGTATTGGGGTAGACAAGTGATTGGATGTTCTTGTGACTAGGTAAAGGATGTCGAGAGCTCATACACACAACGCGAGTTCCAGTAATGACAATACCGAGGCACTCGGTAAGTTTTATAGAACTCTGGGGGCTATGACCCAAATGATGAATGAATCGATGCCAACCCATTCTACCCCTACACTAGAGCAGAATGACAGTAGCCTCATGGAGAGGTTTAGGAGAATGGCACCCCCCACCTTTTTGGGGCATGGAGGCGTGGAGAAGGCTGAGAAGGTGAAGAAGCAAATGGAGAAGATTTTAGAGGTGTTACACTGCTCGGATGAGCAAAACGTTAAGCTAGGGGCCTTTATGTTGTAAGGGGGAACAAAGTACTGGTGGGACTCGGTGAAGCAGACTTGGAGGGAGGAAGGGATCGAGGTCACCTGGGAAAACTTCTAAGCAGCATTTGACGAAAAGTACTTCCCTGACTCAATCAAGGAAAGGAAGGAAGTAGAATTTATTGAACTTCAGCAAGGGGGTTTGACAGTTGAACAACACACTGCCCGGTTTGCAGAGCTCTCTAAGTATGCGCCCCACATCATAAATACCGAGGCACGAAAGGCAGCCAAAATTTGAAAGGGTCTTGCTACCGGATATGAAGAATAGAGTCATGTCGGCCAATATAAAGTCGTATGCCCCAATGGTAGACCATGCCTTGAAGATGGAAAACGACTGCGATGATAGCCTGTTAAGGAAGGAAGGAAAAACGAAATCAATGTCGTTGGGAAAGTTTGGGAAGAAACCCCAACAGTTTTCGAGGAGAAACACCAAAGGGAAGCCTTGCCCACCTAACTTGAGGATCCGGAAGAGTCTTCCAGGCAATATGGGTATTGACCAATGGCTGATTTGTGCTTATTGTGGGAGAAGCAACCACACTACCGTGAAATGCTACCAAAAGAAGAATGTATGTTTGAAATGCCTTAAGCCTGACTACTGGGTGAAGGACTTCCCTATGATGAAGGTCGAGGATTACCTGAAGACCCAAGGGCGAGTATTCACACTCACTGAACAAGAGGCCAAGGTATCCACCTCGATGATCAGAGGTATGCTCTCAATTTGTGATGTTGATGCTAAAGTTTTAATTGACCTTGGTTCCTCTCACTCATTTGTTGCACCCCATTTTGCCCATTACATGAATGTTGCCCCTGCATGTCTCAACGATACTTTAGTAGTATGCACGCATGTGGGAGGCTCTATAGAAACTGATAGAGCATACATGCATTGTAAGCTTACAATTGATCGGTGTGACCTACCTGTGGATCTAATCCACCTAGATATTCAAGACTTTGATGTGATTCTAGACATGGATTTGTTGTTTACACACCATGCCATCGTCAACTACCATGGAAAGACCGTAACTTTTAAATGTCCCGATCAAGCAGAAATACACTTCAGTGGCATTAAGGACAGTCCCCCATTACACCTCATCTCTACCTTCCGAGCCTCTAGCCTTCTGGCTAAGAAGTGTGAAGGGTACCTAGCTTATGTGGTTGAGAATCGGGTGTTCAGACCCTATTGGAAGGGATACCAGTAGTAAAAGAATACTCGGAGGTGTTTCCAGAGGAATTTCCATCCCTACCTCTAGAAAGAGAAATCGAATTTGAGATAGAAGTAGTACCTGACACTGCTCCCATCTCCAAAGCCCCATATAGAATGGCTCCAGTGGAATTGAAAGAGTTAAAAGAGAAGTTGCAGGAATTATTGGATAAGGGATTGATCCGACCTACTGTGTCGCCCTGGGGTGCACCGGTCCTGTTTGTGAAGAAGAAGGATGAGTCCTTGACTATAGGCAGTTGAACTAAGTGACGGTGAAAACTAAGTACCCTCTGCCTAGGATTGACGACCTCTTTGACCAGCTCTAAGGTGCCCAAGTATTTTCAAAGATTGACCTCTGATCAAGTATCATCAATTGCAGGTCAAGGAGGGGGACATCCCAAAGACCGCTTTCAGAACTCGATACGGTCACTATGAATTTCTTGTGATGCCGTTCGGGTTAACCAATGCTCCCTCTGTGTACATGGATTTGATGAATAGGGTGTTTAGACCCTTCTTAGATGATTTTGTAATGGTTTTTATCGATGATATCTTGCCATATTCTAAGAGTCGGGAATTACATGAACAACATCTAAGAATTGTCTTGCAAACTTTGAAGTCAGAAAGATTGTATGCTAAGTTGAGCAAGATCGAGTTTTGGCTCCCTCTAAGGTCGAAGCCATACTTAAGTGGGAAAGGCCAACAAATGTGACCGAGGTTCGTAGCTTTCTAGGATTGACAGGGTACTACAGACGCTTTGTAGAAGGATTTTCAAAGATAGCGCTTCCCCTGACTCGATTGACTCAGAAGAATGCAAAATTTATATAGTCAGAGGAGTCTGAGAAGAGTTTCCAGGAATTTAAGAAGAGACTAGTCACATCCCCAATACTTGCCTTACCCAAGGGGAATGAAGACTTTGTGGTTTACACCGATACATCTCATAAAGGGCTCGGATGTGTACTCATGTAGAGAGGTAAAATCATTGCGTATGCCTCCAGGCTACCAAAACCGTATGAGCAGAACTACCCAACTCACAACTTGGATCTTGCGGCGGTAGTCTTCGTTTTAAAAATCTGGAGGCACTGCCTTTAAGGGGCCTAGTTTTAAGATGTTCACGAACCACAAAAGCCTCAAGTATCTATTTCCCAAAAAAGAGTTGAATATGAGGTAAAGAAGATGGATGGACATATTGAATGGTTATGATTGTACAATTGATTACCAACCATGCAAGACTAATGTAGTAGCCGACGCTTTAAGTTGAAAAGTTGTGGTCTATGTGACACATTTGATGGTTTGAGAAAGGAAGCTATTAGAGGATGTGGTGCAGTGGCACCCATCTCAGTGCCGTAGTGAAAGGGAAGGAATGATGTCGTGTCTAAGGATGGAACCCCAACTCCTTCCACAAATCCGAACCGCCCAAAAAGGAGATCCTCAGCTAATAAAAATCCTTGAAGAACTGAAAATGGAGGGAAACGAAGATTTTTCCATAAGTAGTGATGACTTGTTAAGGTTTAAGGACCAAGTGTGTGTTCTTAATGACAAGAAAATAAAAAGGGTTGTCCTAAAGGAAGCACACCATTCCCGCTTCACAGTACACCCAAGGAGTACGAAGATGTACCAGGATTTGAAAAAGGCCTTCTGGTGGAACAACATGAAGCAAGATGTGGCACAATTTATTGCTAGGTGTTTGACGTGCCAACAAGTAAAGGCAAAACATCAGAAACCTGCTGGACTATTGCAGCCCCTACCCATACCATAGTAGAAATGGGAATACATCACGATGGATTTTGTTATTGGATTACCAAAATCAAGTGCAGGGCATGATAGTATTTGGGTCGTGGTGGACCGATTAACCAAAGATGGTCACTTCTTACTAGTTCGCACGACCTATACTCTAGATAAGCTGACCCAGTTGTACATCAGAGAAATTGTGAGATTGCACAGGGAGCCCATCATCATTATGTCACACAGGGACACCAGATTGACCTCTAGATTTTGGACAAATCTACAATCAGCTTTGGGGACCAGACTTACTTTCAGCACTGCCTTTCACGCCCAAACCGATGGACAGTCAGAGAGAACCATTCAAACCTTAGAGGATATGTTAAGGGTGTGTGTCACTGATTTTAAGGGAAGTTGGGAAGACCATATACCTTTGATAGAATTTGCTTACAACAACAATTTTCAAGCCAGTATTCAAATGGCACCTTATGAGGCCATGTATGGAAGGACATGCAGGTCGCCCATTTGTTGGGATAAGGTGGGCGAAGAAGATTATTAGAGCTCCAGATAGTTCAGGTGACTTCTGAGAAGATTGCCTTAATCAAAGAACGGCTCAAGACCTCCCAAAGTTAGCAAAAGAGCTATGTCGATAATCATCAGAGAGACCTTGAGTTTGAAGTGGGGGATCGGGTCTTCTTGAAGGTATCACCAACCAAGGGTGTTATGAGATTTAGTAAAATGGTGAAATTGAGCCCACGATTCATTGGACCTTTTGAAGTCATGGAAAGAATTAGAAGCGTGGCTTACCGACTTGCTCTGCCACCTAAACTGGCCAGCATCGACAATGTATTCCATATATCACTGCAGAGGAAATATCAACCTGACTCGACCCATGTCTTGAACTGTGAACCAATTCTGCTCAGGGAGGATTTGACTTATGTCGAACAATCAATTGGGGTATTAGACAGTAGGGTACAAGCATTGCGCAATAAATAAATTCCTTTGGTCCGAGTGCAATGACAATATTATCATTCAAGGGAAGAATCGACATGGGAACGAGACGATGAGGTTAAAGAGAAATACCCCCACCTTTTTTATTAATATATGATTTTGAGGACAAAATCCTTTTTAAGGGGAAGATGATGTAAGGACAACTTTTTTTTCCTAGTCTAATGACGTGCACGGTGAGCAAGAGTGAGATAGAAGCCTAGCGCCGGCTGTGTAAGAGAAGAGGTCGTGTCGGCTGTGTAAAGGAAACCCAACGTCAGCTGTGTAAGAGAAGAGGTTGCGTCGACTGTATAAAGGAAACCCAACGCCAGCTGTGTAAAGAGACCCATCGCCGTTTGTAAATTTAAGACCTAACGCCGCCTAAGTAAAAGGGAGATAGTAGAGCATTACCACGTGTGCGAGAGGCAGCGCCACGTGTGGAGGGCCAGCGCCGACTGTGTATGTGAGCATCACCGGCTGTGGATGGGAACATTGTTGTGTGTGTTTGGTCAAATTGTATAGTTGCCACCTGTCAGTGCCGCTTCGTGCAAGTCAAAGCCGCGTGCGATTGTGTCAGCCACAATTTTTTCCTACCACCCTCTCCTTTTTAAGCCTTTTCCTCCCTTGGGTAGCACCATCTCTTCCATTTTCTCAACTCTTTCTCTCTCTCTTGAAGTTCACTACTACCCCTTGAAGACAACCCACTGGTGGAGCTAGGGGAAAGCCCGCGAAGGCAGGGAGTGGGGATTTGAGATACTGTGGGAGTTTAAGGTAAGTGGGTTTAGCTTTTATGCATCCATGGTTTATGTAAAGAACAAATATTTAGAATGGGTAAGATGATAGAATGAAAAAAATGTGAAGCATAAATGGGTTAACATGAAGTTGCAATTTCAGATTTATGCTTCTAAATGTCATGACTGTTTTTACCACATATATGATCTTTTTATTTATGGAAACTCATGAAATTGCTCAATGTGAGACTCCTTATCATGAATAAGGTTCCGAGCCCAAAGTATAGCTTGGCCAGGACATACTAAGTGTTCTTTAAAAGCATGTTAACTTGAGAATAAGAATTTCCATAAGTTTGATTGTTTTTGTATCAAAATGTTCGATGGCCAAATTGTGTCCAAATGGGACCAAATTGGTTCCAATTGAAATACATACATGTCTAATCCAAGTTTACTTTTTATGCCATGATAAAATTGCACATGGATTAAAAGATATGGCCTAAGACGTCGAGACACAACACCGCTCACAGTCATTGCTAATTTCAGCAACTATGGCCCTCTTTGGGCCATGCTTTTGACTCAGAAAATGGTGCCCAAACACCTTAAATATGCCACCATTGGAAAGGTTTGTGAATGTACTCAAAGTTGCACGTAGTGAGGTTTTTGAAATTCCTTACGGATTTTAAATTATGCCCCGAAATGCACGAACATGTCATTGCGCGCTATTGCAGGGAAGATTTCCAGCAACTAATACTCACTTTGCACTGAGCTATAGACCCATCAAATGACACCCAAATTCTTTCAAATTATTATCTTTGTAATGGTATGTGGGTAAGCTTAAAGTTTCATGTTTGAGGCATTTTGAAACTCCCCCTAGATTGGGAGCTACGTCCTTGTAAGAGGGGCATGTCATTGTACCAGTTTTATATCCGTGAGACACTAAGCTTTCTTGTTATGTGATAAATGTGAATACCATATGATGAATTTCATGTGAATGCCATAAAGATATGTGAATGATGTCTTATGACTGTGCTATGTCAGATAATCGAGGCCACGAGTACAATAGTGATGAAGTGAATTCATAATGAATGCCAATTGCAATTGAGAAGACTTATGTTTAAACGCCCTGTGAAAGCTTATGAAATAAATGACTTTTGCTAAATAATATGATGAAATATGATTCATCTGTATGAGACATTGACTGATGTGAATGAATTGAATGCTTGAACATGATAAATGGTCATTGCTTATATTAATATTGACCATTATGCGATGGGACACTCAATGGTAGTTGATATTGTTATGACATTGTGATGGATGGCCACTGCTTATATTAATATTGACCATTACGAGATGGGACACTCACCAGTAGTGGATACTATTATAATATTATGATGGATGGCCACCGCTTATATTGATATTGATCATTACGCGGTGGGACACTCACCGGTAGTGGATATTGTTATGATATCGTCTGCTACGCGATGGGACACTCATCAGTAATAAGGAAAGTGATGCCGGCATATTCCCTAACCTGCATAATGATAGGAACAGGTTAAGGGAAATGATAGAGGGTCATACCCTAGATTTATGAAATGATTGATACCTTGCAAGGTAAGGTCCTATTGAACCCTCAATGTGCGTTGGGCACTGTGTGAGTGTGTTGAAGGTATTACGAAGTGGATTACCCCAATTGTTATTACCCTCCCTCCTATATGATGGTAGAGGTCTTAAGCAATGGGATTGGCTCAGACTGATAGATAGGGCATCTACTATGGGAGTAGCTGATTTAGGGAGTGAGTGAGTAATGATCGAATTTCTGAATAAGGAATGTTTAGGATTGCATTGATTGAATGTTAATGATTTCGCTGATTAAATGCTCATGATCGCACAAATTTAGTAATATTTGTCGTGTAAATGAAATGTTCATAATCGCTGTCTTTATCTAATATTCATATGTGCTAAACTATGATTTTATATTGATGGATTGAATTGTTATCACATACGAATAGAATCACTATAGATGCATAATACTAGATTTACTTACTGGGCTTTATAGCTCATTCAATTTTTTTCTCCTGTCCTCGTAGATTGATAGCGATAGGTTCAGGGCTGGGAACTCGTGTTTTGCAGCGGGAGGTTGAAGTTAGATTTCGCGAAGAAGGTGCTTAGATCTTGTTTATGACAGGGGTGTTTGACCCTAGGTTTTTGTTCTTTGTTGATATATGTAATATTGGGCCTAAATGCCCTGAACTGAATGTAACATTTTGGAATAAACTTATATATAATGGATTTTTGGTGTTTGGGATTGTCGATGTTCACCTGTTAGTTAAGTTATTATTTTAGTTCTTTTTCCATGGTTTGCTCGATTACCGAAAATAAAAGCGTTCAGTCCACTTCTTCTTGAGTGACAAACGTTACCTTGGATCACGAACCCGCGCTCGGTCGCTTGTTACCGCGTAAGTACGGTAGTCGAGGGCGGGGGGAGACGATGAGCTTCCGCCGTTCATGATGGAGAAGAGAAGAGAAAGAAAACATGGATGGCGATGAGCTTCTACCGTTCATCATAGAGAAGAGAAGAGAGAGAAAATATAGACGTCGATGAGCTTCCGCCGTCCATGACACAGACGAGAAGAGAGGGAAAACATGGATGGCGATGAGCTTCCGCCGTTTATGACAAAGAAGAGAAGAGAGAGAAAACATGGACAACGCTGAGCTTCCACCATCCATGACAAAAAAGAGAAGAGAGAGAAAACATAGACGGCGATGAGCTTCTGCCGTCCATGACAAAGAAGAGAAGAGAGAGAAAACATGGATGGCGATGAACTTCCGCCGTCTATGACAGAGAAGAGAAGAGAGATAAAATATGGACTGCGATGAGCTTTTTTCATTCATGATAGAGAAGAGAAGAGAGAGAAAACATGGACAACGATGAGCTTCTACCGTCCATGATAGAGAAGCGAAGAGAGAGAAAACATGGACGGTGATGAGCTTCTACCGCCCAAGACAAAGAAGAAAAGAGGAGAGAGAAAATATGGATGGCGATGTGCTTCCGTCGTCCATGACACAAGAATTAGAAGAGAGAGAAAACATGGATGGCGATGAGCGTCCGCCGTCCATGACAGAGAAGTGAAGAGAGAGAAAATATGGACGGCGATGAGCTTCTACCGCCCAAGACATAGAAGAGAAGAGGAAAGAGAAAACATAGACGATGATGATCTTTCGTCGTCCATGACACAAGAATTAAAAGAGAGAGAATATATGGACAGGGATGAGCTTCTGATGTCCATGATACAGGGGAATAAGAGAGAGAGAGAACATGGATGACAATGAGCTTCCACTGTCTGTGACACAAGAATTAAAAGAGAGAGAAACCATGGATGACAATGAGCTTTCACCATCCATGATACAAGGGAATAGGAGGAACCTTGACAAAGGCCCGGCCCGCCACTTCAGTTAAGGCTCGACCCACTATCGATGCCCCAGAAGTAGGAGGACATCGCACTCAGCGATAGGCTCCACCATGCATGATCAGAGAATAAAGAGAGAGAAACACAGAGAGAGAGAAGGAAAGTGAAGAAAAAGAAAATAACGATAGAAGAGAGAGAAGGAAAGTGAATAAAAAATATCAAAGAATAAAAAGAAAAGAGAGATAGAAACGAGAGGAGAGAGAAAGATTAAGATAGAGACAAAGAAAGAGAAAGAGAAATAAAAAGAGATAGAAAGAAATGAAAGGAGGATAGAGAAAGAGAGATATGAGATGAGGAGAGAGAAAGTGATAGATGAGAGGAGGAGAGAGAAAATTACCTTCATCAAAGGGTATCAGATATTTTTTTCTCTCTCCTCTCTCCAAGACGTGCCCATAATTTGATCGTGAAAACTCTCAAATTTTATTGATGAGTATTGAAAAATGAAGGGTCCTTTAACAATTATGTTTAGCATGTACTTATAGAATTGGACCCAAACATGAGTGTACGTCAAAAAACTATCATAATTAATGATAATTACAATTTAATTAATTAAAAAAAATTCTAAATGTTGGTGCAAAAGGACTGTTTTGCACCTACCTAACAATAGATGAAATTTCAAAACAATCCCTGCTGCTGCCCTAGAACTTGCGTGATCTCCCATAGATGATTAGGGTTACTCCGGCATCCGTTTGGCCAAAAGATGATTGCTTTCTTGTCAGGCTTGGCATGACGATTAATTTGATACCAACTTCGAACCATGGATCACATTTTTAGGGCACGATCATGCGACTCGAAATTTGCGTAGATCTTGAAAACTTCTGATCGATAGTGTGCATGTTTCTTGATGTCTTTCATTAGTTTCTTCACTGAATTGCATTGATCATGCTGTCACGAATACGTTGCAACAAACGCAGCTCGATTTTGTGTCCAAACAAAGATTTCGCCGTCTTGGGTATTTGGCCGGAATCTTAAAATCCAAAGGCCAAAATCTGCAGTAATTTTGACACCTTCATGTGCCAAATCCAACCGTTCATCGTACCCGAGGTTCAGACCAAAGATAGCCTCAGACCTTACGTACATAATACAATTAGTTTCACGTTGATTGAGTACGCGAGCATTGTGATATGGCTGGTCGAGCAAGGCATGTTGCTACTGAATTTTCTGCAACTATCTTCATGAATTGTCAAATTCTCTCTACCTTTTCTCCCTGCTCGGATATCATCATGGGGTCGTGCGACATATCAAAATGCTCGTCTTGACAAGATGAACACACCCACCAAATTTGAGTGCGATCTGACTCGAACGAGTGAGATACGGGTCTTTGAAGTTGCCGCTCGGGACAGCACAGACCAGCCTCCTTTAATGGACATTGGTGAAGGGAGGCCATATGGGAAGAGCGTGCGGTCTACCCCTTTTTAATGTTTCACCCATAACTTTGTCTTGGAGCGCTCAATTAAGCTGAAACTTGACTTATAGGGGTTTTCAACCGTGTCAGATCTAATGGTAACGGTCCCACAGCTATTTGAAGCATCGAAAATAAAATTCTGGTTACGAGATCCATTTTAGGGTGTTAGAGGTTGATTTTTCTAGAATTGTTTCTTTGTTTGCGCTGCCTTAAACATGCCAGATTACAACGAAACTTGGCAAGTAGATTTTTGAGGTCTTTAGGAAGATTCTGACCCGTTCTGGGGAAATTTTGAGACTGTTGGGAATTTCACTGTACGTCAAGGCTTTATTGACCAGCCTCTCTTTTATTTCGCATTAGGGACTCAAGGTGCGGAAAAATGTGTTCAAATAGTGTCCTTCACAAAAGGCATACATTACCCAATTAGATATCAAAATTTTTGAAAACCACATATTTGCACGTCCATCTCTCTCTCTCTCTCTCTC